CTAATTACAAGACTAATGAAAAGAAATTATCCTTTTTATGTTTTTTTCCCCCCTTTCTCTTCGTCCCTCAATTTGATGTTCTGACACAGAACTTTTGGTATGAAGTAGGTATTTTTCTTTACGCCCACTCAAATGGAATGTGGCACAAGTCTGGGTCTAAAGTGGGTGTTCCACTCGTGCATGATGGCGAGGACCGAAAATTACTCAAGTCCCCCTTGGTTTTTCTCTTTTGGTAATAATTGTTTCTTTATGAATTTCGGAAGACGCTTCTCTCATACTGTGAACACAGGGTAATCTATGCTTCGTTATTCTCCTCCATATATCTGGTATGCTGGAAAATACGGTACACGCGCGCGCACACACACTAGTGGGTGATAAAAAGTTCTCAGTCTGACCAAGAAGTTTTGGAAGGTGGGTCGAGACATTGTGATTTATAAAGGGAAAATAGAGCCTCTCTAGACTGTAATACTCTATGTAGCCAAGCCGTAAAGCACACCAGATCAAACGATGGTTTCTCCTAGAAAGGGAGACGCAGGTTCGATCCCATCCGGAGAGCACGTTTTCTTTAGTAAGGTTTTCCGAATGCGTAGACCAATAGATGTAAGCCACACTGTTTAAAGTAAAAAATAAAAATGGAGCATTTATTTCAAATACGAGTATCTACTAAAATGATGTTTAAAGTAAAGTCCACTTGAAATTCCTATAAGTTATGTCACTTTTGTTCATCCATCCGACAATTTCTCCGGACGTAAGCTGCCAATACATCGATCAACACAAAAACAAGTCACCGTGGTTAAGAAATGCCTTTTTAATTTTCTGCTAGTTTTTTTCTGGTAAAAAAAATGTAAGTAAATAATGTTTGTTTCAAATTAGATTAATCTTTAAATTTCCTAATTTTCCTCAAATAACCTTTGAAAAAAAAGAAAAGTATATTTTATTTTTGCAAGATTTTTAAAACGCAGAATTAACCTTCATTTACAAACGTCTCCAAAATGGAGGACATCCTCAATTTTATTGAAAACAAAAACAAAAATGTCTATTCCAATCAATGTAAATTCAGTTTTAAATACTCCAAATTATTTTGCTTGCTAAGTATAGTAAATTTATTCCTTTAGCTTTGTATTTAAAGATAAAAACAAAGCTTCAAGAATGATTTGTCATTTTGAAGAATGCATTGTTTTGAACCTTAGATATCGCGAATCTGTGTCAATATAATTTAATCATTTATTAACGCAATAACATCATATTCCAGATGGGTTTGAAAATTTTATCACAAGAGGTATTCAGTTTGGGTATTTTACAGTCTCCATAACCAGGAAAAAATATGAGACAAGGATCAGGATGGAAACTATCTAAACCATCTTTCCTTTGTTCCATGTTTGATGTGGATACAGTAACGAGTGTCGCTGCTAGATGCAAAAAGTCTTTTACAGCAATTTTCAATGTTAAGATAAAACGTTTTTTTTAAACCACGGATCTTTTGCCGACCTTATTTCACTCAAGGACTTTTTTTTTTTAACTCTGTAGACACAAGAGCTCTGTCTGAAGAACACCTGAATTACAAACAAAATGAAAATTTGAGAAAACTATTAGGTTGAGTCATAAATAATTTCCGTTTTTGTTGATCAGTTTTATCCTTAAAAAAATTAAAGTATTACGTTTTAATCATATATATATTCACCCTTATTTGCAATGGCTTATTGCCACTTATCAGGCAGTTCTTCAATGCCTTTTGAGTAAAGTTCCGTATCTTTCGACGTGGAAAATATTTTGACGAACTCTTGAATCTGGTTTTCATACGGAAAGATTTCTCGATGAAAGCTTTTTACAGCGATGGAAAAAGGCAATAATCGTTTGATGCAAGGTCAGACAAATATGGCGGCTTTGGTAAAATAAACCAACCGAGATCCAAATTATTTTTCCGCGTTAATTCATGTTGTATGCAGTTGTGATGGAGGAGAATAACAATTTTCATTTAATCCACTATTTATTCAAACTATACAGCGAGGTAATTCTGAAAAAATCAAATGTCCTACTAGGATTCATTATTGGCAGTCACAATCTTAACAAAATAAGGTATTTTAAGACATTTTTATGTTTAACATTCTTTTTATAGATACAAATATTTAAGTAAATGCTCTGTTTATAATAAACAGTATTAAACAACATTTACCGGCCTGAATGTCCGAGAAATTTTTACAGAAAATATTCGTCCTCCGACAGGATTCGGACCTGTATCCTATACGGAACCGTCATTTAGCCTGACGTGCCTTTACCGATTTGGCCACGAAGGAGCGTTCGATTAGCAAAGTCGAATTTACTGTATTCAAATTTCAATCTTCCATGAATCTCTCACGTACATTCATCTCTGCTCATGGCGTATCAAATGTAAACAAATGACGTCACACATTATGAAATGGACAAAGTCTGACAATTATTTTAAGACATTTTTATGTTTAATATTCTTTTTATAGATACAAATATTTAAATCGGTAAAGGCACGTCAAGCTAAATGACGGTTCCGTATAGGATACAGGTTCGAATCCTGTCGGGGGACGAACATTTTCTGTGAAAATTTCTCGGACATTCAGGCCGGTAAATGTTGTTTAATAATACTGTTTATTATAAACAGAGCATTTACTTAAATATTTGTATTTATAAAAAGAATGTTAAGCATAAAAATGTCTTAAAAAATTGTCGGACTTTTGTCCATTTCATAAAACAAGGTATGCTGACAACACAATATTGATAGCAGAAACGGAAAGGAAACTACAAAAGCTTCTACAGAAGATAGCGAAGGAAAGCGAGAAGAAAGGACTAAGTATAATCTACAAGAAGACAGGATGCATGGTTATCAGCAAAAGGATGACTCCAAAGGTCAAATTACAAATGGGGGATACTGGAATCGAACAAGTACAAAAACGGAAAGTGCGACACTGAGATCCAAAGATGGCCAAAGATGCATTCCAAATGCTAAGCAGAGTATTAAAAGACATAAAAATTTCGTTAGAAACAAAGTATTAAACTGTTATTTAATATCAGTCCTCCTATATGGCAGCGAATGCTGGACAGTCTCCTCAAAATGAAGAAGAGACTTTAGGCAACAGAAATGTAGTTCTACAGAAGGATGCTGAGGATACCAGGGACCGAACATGTGAACAACGAAGAGGTTTGGAAGAAATTGGAAACAAAAAAGGAAACTTATACGTAACATCAGGAAGAGGCTGTTGAAATTTCTGGGACGCGTAACGAGGAAGGAGGGCTTCGAAAATATGATACTCACAGGACAGATTGAGAGCGGGAGGAAAGCAGCGCGTAACATACTTGATGAGTTTGAGTAAATGGGTGGTAGAATAGGATTTGAGAGAAATAACAAAAAGACAAAACTTATAAAGAGCTACAAAGGACAGGAAAATGTGGAGGGCCTTGACTGTGTACACTGCCACTGTCGTGCCAAATTTAACGTATGTCTCCTCGAAATTTATTTTTAACTGCCACGTATGCTTAGCTGTTAGACTGATATATTTTCCATTACAGTTGATTACCAAAAACGGAAATTACTTCTGATTCAACGTATTAAAAATTGAATATCGGAAAATTGGAGCAAATGACTCTTAGAATCTTTCAGATTAGCATTGGTAATACTGTTAGCGAACTGTATCTGTCTATATTTCTGAGATGAGGTATTATGTACATTATTTACATTATTCGGACTATTGTCCATATCTTTGTCGCCATATGTATTACAACGTTTCGGCCGTTGTACACTCCGGCCTTCTTCAGGTGGTTGGAATGTCGAACTTAGCCCTTTATTTCGCTCACTGGGGTAGACTGTTCTAGTTCCACGTGCCATGTTTAATGGATGTCAGTTAACAGTTATCTCCTGTTAATTTCCCTCTGAAAGTTCTCCACTGCCTTAATTAACCGGGTGTTGAACTCACACACTTTGGCTCCTGTCACTGGATCTAACCAACACCTTTATCCACTGTGCCATGTGTCCTCAAGGACAACCACCTGAAGAAGGCCGGTGCGTACAACGGCCGAAACGTTGTTATAAATATGGTGACAAAGATGAGGACAATAGTCCGAATAATGTAAATAGTGTTAGCGAACTGCTTGAAGATGTTGGATTTTATGTTTTCTGCACTCAGATCTGTTTACTGCCTGACTCCGTTAAAAGAATATCATCTGCCTCTAAAAGAGTTGACTTGCCGTAAAAAGGTGGGGAGGCTTATATTTCTTCCTTGTAATGTAGATGATAAAAGACGCATAAAAACCAGGGTATGTTAGAATTTTCATTGACTCTTTTGGTACGCTTATAGGTGTTGATTAAATGAAAATGATCCTGAGGAAGATGGAATTTTCTTTTTTTCCATTACTCGTGCCAGAAATATTTCAGTTGGGCCGAAGAAGACTTAACTAACTGATTATTTTTACGTGTGTTTATTTTAATTTAATTTAATTTTTACCGTACCTCGTACTGCAAGTGCGGATATTATTCAATTGACAGAGTCTCTCGTCGCATCGCTCCCTCCTTTTGGAAAAGAGAGTAGCTTGGCGTACATTGACATTTTTGTGTGGAGTGACTCAGGCCTGTTGCAAATTCTCGTATTTTATCTGTTTTACGGGGCTTACAAACTCGGGGCGTTTTGAATTTACCTAAACGAACAGTGATTGGTTGAAAATTCACTTCTTTTTTTTATACTTCCTGATATGTTATCATCTGCTTTCGCAAATTTTTGATCTTATATTCTATTCTTTTTGCCGACTTTTTCCTGGAGCCTGCCATTTTTTTGATTTATATATATATATATATATATATATATATATATATATATATATATATATATTTCATTTTTTTTTTTGTGTAGTTTTTAACGTGCCTGTTGCTGTTAATTATTGAATTTTCAAAATTACATCACATGAGCACAAAACTCGGAAATTAAAAAAAAAAAAATCGTTTTTCCTTGACTTGCCATCGTTAACTTCTGGAAGCTCTTATGCTCCGAGGTTGCTTTTCTTGTGTACAAATATTCCTTAACCTTTTATATGTAAATGTTTCTTTATTTTAGGAACTGGCGCCTTTCCTCACCCCTGTCTTTCGCTCTTTTTACCCCACCCAACTAACTTTTCACTCTGTCGGTGATTTTTTTTTATCTCTTCTAGTGTGAGTAAATGATACTTAAAGTAGAAATAAGAACTGAATCGGGTAAGATGAAAAGAAAAAGCGAGAACAAAGTGGAGGAATAGAGATCAGGGTCGGAAGGAAAATGGCTGACAATTGAGGAATGAAACGAAAAAAACTCAAAGAAAATTTTTAAGGAGAGCGGGGAATGCTTTGGGGTGGAAATTACTAAATTTTATTTTTATATATTTGCTGTGCCTTTTTCCGTACAATTATTATTTCATTCTTTCTATCATTTTTTAAACTTTTCCCGTTTTGTTTTTTTATTTACCTTTTTAACAATTACTCAATGTTTTCTTCCTTCTACTGTCAGTTTTTCATTGTGCTTTCTTTCACTTCTCTCATTCATACTTTCATTCTTTTTCTTTTTTCTACTTGCTTTCATTCTTTTTCCTTTCATTCTTTTTCCTCGTTTTCTACTTACTTTTATTATTCTATTTCCTTTTTCTACTTGCTTTCATTCTTTTTCCTTCTTCTTTCATTCTTTTTTCCTTTTTCTACTTGCTTTCATTCTTTTTCCTTCTTCTTTCATTCTTTTTTCCTTTTTCTACTTGCTTTCATTCTTTTTCCTTCTTCTTTCATTCTTTTTCCCTTTTTCTCCTTGCTTTCATTCTTTTTCCTTCTTCTTTCATTCTTTTTCCCTTTTTCTCCTTGCTTTCATTCTTTTTCCTTCTTCTTTCATTCTTTTTCCCTTTTTCTCCTTGCTTTCATTCTTTTTCCTTCTTCTTTCATTCTTTTTTCCTTTTTCTACTTGCTTTCATTCTTTTTCCTTCTTCTTTCATTCTTTTTTCCTTTTTCTACTTGCTTTCATTCTTTTTCCTTCTTCTTTCATTCTTTTTCCTTCTTCCTTCATTCTTTTTACCTTTTTCTACTTGCTTTCATCCCTTTTCCTTTTTCTACTGTTTTTCATTATTTTTTCTTTTTCTACTGTATTTAATTTTCTTTCTTTTTTTTCCTTTTTCTTTCATTCTTTTTTTCCTTTTTCTACTGTTTTTCAGTCTTTTTCCTTTCCTATTGTCTTTCGTTTTTCATTACTTCGTTCATTTCTCTTCTCTCTCATTCACATAAATGGAAAATAGTAAAAAATAAAATAGAGAAAATAAAAGACAAAATAAAAGAAAACGAGAATCGTTAACTTCCCATATTTTCCACTCTCTTTCTTTATCTTCGCAGTTCATTTCTTTTTCTTTACTTTTCTTTTTTTTACTTCCTCCTCTCTCTCTCTCCCCTCGTTGTCTTCCTTTTCTTTTGATCTTTTCTCCCCCAGTTTTTGTCTCCTTTTTATTTAAGTTTTAGTACTTCCTTCTTTCTCTTTTACACTTTCATTTTTTTTATTTTATTTTTTTGTTTGATTTTTTTTATTCTCCCTTCTTTTATTTTCTCTCTTTTTTTCTCTCCTACTAATTTCTTTTCACTCACGGGGGGTGGGGGAATACGGAAGAATAAGAAGAAGAAGGAGAGAAAAAATAAACATTAATTCCTAGTTGGAATGAAATTAGAGAGGAAGTTAGTGTATGCTTGGAGGGGCTGTTACAAGATAAAACACCCTGGAGAGGGTGGCAATGCTATGACTACCGCTGCTGCTGCTGGGGTTGAGGTTCTTTATCTGCATGGAAACGGGGCCGGAGAGGAAACAGATATCCAAGTAGGCATAACAGAGTGAAAGGCAACACACACACACACACAAAGTAGGGTGGGGAAATTTCCTTTCCTTTTCGACCCCACTTACTAGGTATCAAATTCATATGCACAACCATTCTTATATATATTACCTCCCACAGCATATATCTACGTCAGTGTCTATTGTATACACAGTACACTACATACATTTCCTAACCTAAATCCAAATTTCTATTTTCCTCTCTCTCTCTCTTTCACAAACACATACGCACACATACTACATCTTCTCAGCGCAGGACTCTAACATTGGGCCCTCTCGTTAGGATCGAACTCATTACAGGAGAAATTCTGTCGGATATTAGCCACAATAATAGCCTTCCCTTTAAATTAAATATTCGCGTGCACACACCTACAACATTAGATCTTCTTTCTCATTTTATTATTTTGTGTTTAAAATACAATCTACATCTTTTTGTGACCTGACAATATTTATGACACGCAATTTTTTTAAACAACGTAGGATTTTGACCAGTTGTCAGTTTCCTTAATCTTTTTTTATCCATTACTCAAGTTACTTAAATGAAATGGTTGCTTTAAAAATTAAATATGCTTGTGTCTAATAAATAGAAAAGAGTTACCGATGTAACTAAATTAGTAGAATTCTTGAGTACAGTTGTATAACGCAGTTGCTTAATTGAAATTCTATAATTTTCTTTGGAAGTGACTTAAGCCACACTGGCGTCAGTTGTGGTGGTGCTTGAGTTTTTGAGTACAGATGCTTATTATCAATTTGCTTACTAAAAAGAAAAAAATAATAAAACATATAACTATTTAAAGTATCAATAAACTTCTAATATACATGCACAATTTAGGTACGTCCAAAGATTCGCTGAAAAACGAGCATACATGATGAAAAAAATGCCCTAAAATCTTGATAAAAACAGTTTTGTTAAATAAAATTATCAGATTTCTGCAAGAATTTCTAAATCTGTTTCTCACCGTAAAAAAAGATGCTCAAATTTCCCGTATAAATTCATGGTCTCATATTAACGCCAGAAAAACAAGATTTTTAACTAAAAGTTCTAAAAAGGATTTTTAAAAAATAATTTTTACATAAAAAAATCCTTTGATATTTCCTAATAATAACAAAGATTTTGACGATAAAACTTTGTTTTTATTAAGTTTGGGGGATCTTTTCATCAGGTATACTCATTTTTTAGCCATTCTTTAGCCGTAACTATAATTGTTTAAAATGTTCTTTATTTATAGAGGACGAGTGCTCAAGATTGAGTACAGAGCGTTTGATGGTAAAAACATTTTGATGCCGCTCTAAACTAATAAACAAGCTAGAATGATGTGTCACTAGTGAAGTTAAGGCTTACACAAATTTAAGTACAGTTACTTATAAATGAACTGCTTATTTAAAACAATCTTGGAGTCTAAGCTTCAATTGTGGATCGAGTTCACTATTAATGGCTTGCGAGAAAACTGCACCGAAGCAAGTTGTCTGTATAAATGCAAACTTAAATGAACAGCTGCCTCTCATATATTATTCATATTTTCTCGAACTAGGGATATTTCCTATTGTCTGCAGTTATTGCAAGTGTGCAACATACTAAAACATTTTATTTGGGGGTTCGATTACTGTCTTTTGTTAATTTAAACTTTAAACTGTCACACAAGATCATTTCGTATGTCTGCAAAAAAAATAAAACCATTCCATGTGTACCTCTTTTATTTTTCTCCCTCTGCTTACCTATTTATTGCTGCTGCTTTTACTCTCTCTCCTGTCCTTTTATGTTTTTTTCTCTCTCTCTCTTTCTTTTCTGTCTCTCTTACTATCTCTTTCTCTTGTCCCTTTTAGTCTCTCTCTCTCTTTTGTGTCCCTTTTAGTCTCTCTCTCTCTTTTCTGTCCCTTTTAGTCGCTCTTTCTCTTTTAGTCTCTCTCTCTTTTGTGTCCCTTTTAGTCTCTCTCTCTTGTCCCGTTTAGTATCTCACTCTCTTTACTATCCCTTTTAATCTCTCTCTCTCTCTCTTGCTTCATTTAGTATCTCTCTTGTCCTGTTTAGTATCTCACTCTCTCTTGTTCCATTTAGTCTGTCTGTCTCTCTCTTGTACCGTTTAGTACCTGTCTCTTTCTCTCTCTGTCTTGTCCCGTTTAGTATCTCTTTCTCTCTCTCTCTCTCTCTCATCCCGTTTAATATATATATATATATATATATATATATATTGTTCCATTTAGTCGCTCTCTCTTTTAGTATCTCTCTTTTCTGTTTTTTTAGTATCTCTCTCTCTCTCTCCTTCTATTCTCTGCCTTTTAGTTTCTCCCTTTCTCTTTTGTTCCTTCTTAGTTTCTCTCTCTCCTGATTTTTATAATCTCTTTCTCTCTCTCTCTCTCCTCTTTTTCTATTTATTTCTACCATTCTCCTGTTTCTAGAAACATGAGAAAAAGAAAAAAGAATTTGGTCATTATTGAATGGTTCGCATTCAAGTCCCACTGGTTCATGACAATACCAACAGGTAGATTTGAACTCCAACCAACAAAATTCTTACGAATATGACACGTTAAGAAAAAAAAAAAAAAAACGTTACCGGTTGGACAACAGCAAATTTAAATGTATCGAGGCAGCTGTGAGAAGGAATGTTGGTAGAAATGTTTTATGAACAGGATTTAAGGAAAAGGAAAACAAAAGCTGGGTGCTAAATATGGAAACAAAAGTGAAGCCCATAGGGTGGGGGATGTTTGCAGCACAGCCTCTTGTAAAATAGTGTTTGAAAACACAGGGCGATCACGGTTGATGTTTGTCTCCTTAGCCTCTTCATCTCCAACACGTCCGGGGGGGGGGGACAGCGCTAAAATATTTCATGGTAGGTCTGTTTTGAAAGGCCAGTGAATGCAACATTTTATTAGGCTCCTGTCGAAAATGTAATTATTTCTGAGAAAATATTTTATAAATTCATATATTTTTTTCATAAAATGGATTTCGCCTAATTTTCTTCCTTAAGTTAGGAACGAAGCCCCCATCAATACTGGAAAGAACAATGAACTTGAGAAACTTATTTTCCAGAGGATTTGTTTTAATAGAAAGATAATTTACTGCCACATCACGTTGAAACACCAGTTTTCGTACAATCACCGAAGTTAAGCAACATTAAGCCTGGTCAATACCTAAATGGGTGACTTCTTGGGAATACCACGTACTGTAAGCTAGTATGTACGGTTGGTGCACTGGGCTTACGGCCATATCATGAAATATTGTTTCTCGTACGATTCTCGTAATGGATAATAGCTCGGAATTGGAAATTTGTAGAGCCGCGTTCCAATTCCAGTCGGGTTTGTTATATTGACTTACGCGCAAAATACCCTTGGTAAATGTTTTACAGAAAGTACTTGCAATCTGAAATGAACATCTAATCCATTTTACAATTAATAAAAAACAAGGACCGCGTCGTTCATCGAGTGGTCAGGGAGTTAATGCCTTATTTAATCTGTTAGCGAAGCGATTTCGTCATTAATTACATTAACTTTATTGATTTATTCTTTGAATGACTATTTTGCAATATTAACTAAGCTGTATTATTTAATAATATATATATATATATATATATATATATATCATACTTATTATAAAACCCAGGTTGTGTGTGTGTGTCTGTACGTTTATATATTGGATCGGATTTCCTACATTTTTTAACTGATTTCAACAAAACTTCACAGGACTACGTAAAATTACGTTGCAGTGGTTCTGACAGCGCCAAAAAATTGGAAAAACACAATTGTTTTTGCACGAAATCAATTTGAAAACACGATTAAGAGCGTGAATGAAAGGGGGACAACTCATATCGAGTTATACTTATTATAAAACCCAGGTTGTTTGTATGTGTGTGTGTGTGTGTGTGTGTTCGTTTATATATGTGATCGGATTTTCTACATTTTTCAACCGATTTCAACAAAACTTCACTTTTTTTGGCAGGTAGTGTTTCTTATTGTCTTGCACACTTTTTTCTTTATTTTTACATTCAGAATACTTTAAAAATTCCATTTACAAGACAATTGTTTATAATAAAATTCTATTCAATCGGTAGACTCGTAACGATTGAAAACAATGTTTTTGTTTGAGTCTTTACGATGGTCGATACTTGATCTATCTCTTAATGTTACATCCTCGGGCAACACCGGGCTCTACTGCTAGTATATATATATATATATATATATATATATATATATATATATAAATACATAAAGGCAGGATGTATATGTGTGTGTAACGGATACACGGCCGCAATTTTCGACGGACTTGCACCAAAATTTACATACACATGCTCCAAGCTAGCAGGAGGGCCAAGACTGACTTTGCATTTCCCAATTCCCATCGATAGTGGAAATAATCGAGTTTTTCATGCTTCTACGGCAGTTTTCATGTAGTTTGCGGCCATTTTCGACTGGCCAGAGTGAGAGCCTATAGCTGGCTGTCACGAATAGGCAGGAAGATTCTATTGGCCAGCGTGAGAGCCAACAGCTGACTGACACGAATGTTAACTAGCATGCTAGTATGCAAAAAAAAAAAAATTCGTTAGCTGCATTCGTCACAAGTGGGAAAATTTAAATCTGCATGGCACTTTACTCCAATTGGCTCATTCGCTTACTTAAACTCAACGTTGATTCTGATTCCTCAGAACTGGGTTTGGTGTGAGAAATTATTTGTAGTTAACATTCTTTTTTCATTCGGTTTTTCCAGTTACGAGTCCGTTTTTAAAGCTGATCGTTTTGTGTTCATTTTGTTTAGTTCTTTTTTCGTAACAGATTTAATGTTTAGTAGAGCTTAGAAAAAATCACAGTGTGAGATAGGCAAGAAGTAAGGCATGTAGCAACATCAGCACGGAAAAGAGCACTCCTTTAAAGGCAAGGAAGGGCAAAATTATTTTAAGTCTACTGATAGCGATTGCTGTATGAGTCGTACGATTTTGGAATCAAGCACGGGCAACGCCGGGCCATGCTGCTAGTATATATGTGTGTGTGTTTGTGTGTCCTCCATGTGTTTTTAGTCCTAATTATATCAATATATGTCATAGAAATGTCTTATGTCGTGTCCTTAATCAGTGGTTCTCAACCTTTATGAAAAAATTAGCAAATTTACTAAGTTACTAGTGTCCTACTACACAAATTAGGTTAGTGTCTTCAGTTAACCACGTAATACTTGTGGTTATCATCGCTTCTAACGTTTCGCTCACTGGCTACTATTACTTGTCAAATTGATCACCCAGTACAAGGCTCAAAAGCCTCTCAAGATAATTGTTGTCAATACTGAAAAGAGTGTTCATTATTCAAGTATTTGGGGGGATACCAGCAACCCCACCAGACAACACCTGTGGCGATCCCGGAAAAAAAAGGTTACCCACCCCTGATTTTAGAGTATATTCCCTGTCCTTTCAGGACGTGGGCAATCAAGGCTCTCCTCAGTTTTCTATCCCTTGTGTTCTTTAGCAACATTTCTCCATTTGCCTGTCCACCGTTCTGCCATCCATTTACATAAGCACATCGGGTAGGTGGTCCGCTGTTTTCCCCTGCCCCTTGTTTATGCCCTGTGAGTGTCAAATTCTCTAAGCCTTCATATGTTCAAGAAATTTCAGTTCTTTCTCATTCTGAGTATAAATGTCCTTATTGTTTCCATTAACCTTAAGACTTCTTTGTTGTTGACATGTTCAGTTCAAACTATCCTCAGCATCCTTCCGTAGAAACACATTTCTCTTCCTACCCTGTTTTCGTCTGTGAGGAGATTGTACAGCATTTACTGCGATGCAAGAGGTTTGCTATTACATAACAGTCCATCACTTTTTTTTTTTTTATTTCTAACAAAAGACATTTGAATAAGACAATATTTATTGTCTTTTTCCACTAAAAAGTCAACAAAAAAATTCCGTTAACCTATTGATTGCATACTTGATACTGGCTTCTCCGTGCTGATCTACAGGTCCCGTCTCAGTATGTCACGTTCTTATTGCAAATCCCCACCTCTCTCTGTTTTTTTCTCTCATTTTTCCAGCCTTCTTTCCTTTATCCAGCTTTCTTTCTCTCCTTTTATTCAATGTTTTTCAGGAACCAAAAAAATCTTTCTCTTTTTTATCCTTCTTTCTATCTTTCCCTTTTCAATTTCTTTCTATCTTGGATTTTTTCAGTTGTTTCTATCTTTCCCTTTTCAGCCTTCTTTCTATCTTCTCCCTTTTTCAGCCTTCTTTCTATCTTCTCCCTTTTTCAGCCTTCTTTCTATCTTCTCCTTTTTTTCAGCCTTTGTACCTTCTCCTTTTTTTCAGCCTTCTTTCTATATTCACAATTTTTTCTGCCTTCTTTCTTTCCCTTTTTTTCAACCCTCTTTTTATCTTTCCCTTTTCAGCCTTCTTTCTTTTATTTTTCTCCTGGGGAAGATTCTCCTTTTTTCATCTTCCGGATCCAGTTTTTTTCAGCCTTCTTTCTATCTTCTCCTTTTTTTCAGCCTTCTACCTTCTCCTTTTTTCAGCCTTCTTTCTATCTCTCCCTTTTTCTGCCTTCTTTCTTTCCCTTTTTTCAACCCTCTTTGTATCTTTCCCCTTTTCATCCTTCTTTCTATCTTTCCCCTTTTCAGCCTTCTTTCTATCTCTTCTTTTTTCAGCCTTCTTTCTTTCCCTTTTTTTCAGCCCTCTTTCTATCTTTCCCCTTTTCATCCTTCTTTCTATCTTTTCCCTTTTCAGCCTTCTTTCTATCTTTCCCTTTTTTGCCTTCTCTTCTTTCTTCCCACAAACTTCTTTCCCTCCTGATTTTTTTTCCAGCCTTTTTTCTCTTTTTATTCCAACCTTTTTTTTTTCTCTTATTTCTTCCAGTTTCTCTTTCCAGCCTTCTTTCTAGCCTCATCCAAACCTTCTTTCCATCTTTCACTGGTGTTGTCTACTTTTTTTTCTCTGTCCCTGCCTTCGAAATATTACACTGGTTTACCCTACTTACTTCCTAAGATAATAAAATGCCAGCTGAATTGCAATCATGACCATATCTCCAACTTTAAGAGCATTCCGGCTGTACTTATTTCACCGTATATTAGAGTACTTACATACTTGTATGTGTGTGTAGTACTTACATACTTGTATGTGTGTGTAGTAGGTGTGGGCAAGAATAACGTTAATCCATATTGAAGACAGGATAGGCAAACTGAGGTGGAATTTCAGCTAGGGTTTCTTAGGTTCATTTTGTGTATCCTTACGAATGGCATAAATCCACTTCTCCCTGTTTATCACTGTCTCCTCACTGGCTTGTCACGGTGGCTGAAGAAATGAGTGAATGTGTGAGAAACTTCTTAGCCATATCTAGCTTCCTTGCCCAGCCAGTAGCTGCATAATGCTGTTATTTCCATAGTCAGTCTTGACAAGGTCCATTTAAGAGTGTGGATAAGTGAGTTCTTGAGAAAACCACTCACTAATAACTGCCTACTCTTCCCAAGCATAGCAGCAAAAAGCGGGTATACCCACCGCATAATCGATCTTCAAAAGAGCGAATGGTGTGTGTGTGTGTGCGCGCATGCGCGCGCGTAGTAAAATGCTCCTGCCTTGAAGGTGGTTTCGTTTCCTGTCGAGAAACACATGAAACAGTGATATCTATTCAAAAACTTGTATCCACTAAATTTAACGATTTTAATGTGATAAGAAATAATGTCGGATTATTATTAAAGTTCATTAATTCCTTGGAAATTCCTATGTAACGGGTATTCCGGTTCAATCCCTACAGAAATACACACTTTCTTTATTAAGGCTTTCCATTGCCCAGGCTGATCGAAAGACGTTGATTACAATATTAAGGAAATGAAAGAAAATAAAACAAGACATATTGACTCAAACACGCATGCCAACGAAATATAACGTTTTTATACCAGTATATGTTATAAACTTTATATGAAACAAAGACGCGTTTTTGAAAAATCTATTCCTAGCTATAAAGTGTGTGAATCTAAATATTTACCAAATTTATCTAAGTCAAACTTAAGGTTATTAAATGTTGGACACAGGATCAGACTTATAATAAATAATAATCTGCAATTCTCATTAAGAACTAGTCCACACCAGGGTGTGTTCATATATATGTATATAAATAAAAAGAAAGAACAGTAAGATATATAATCCGGTGTTCTTATAGATTTTTTTTATTTTTACAAAATAGTGCTCAATGTAAATTTACAAAGCATAATATTATAAAAAAAAAAACAAAAAAAAAAAACAAAACAACACAGTTCTAACCATGTTTCAAAAATAGAATTTAGCTTCTATTTTTGAAACATGGTTAAACTTTATAATTTGAAAAACCATATTTTAAATCAATTAATTTGATTAATATATATATATATATATATATATATATATATATATATATATATATAAATAAAATGAATCATTCATACAATAAAAAACAAATATAGAGGTTAATGATTTAAATGGTTTTTAGAATACTTTCTTCGCAAACAATATAGATAAGATACATCAACCCCGAACCTGTATATAAATGATATGATCCCTGTTCATAAATTTTGTATGAATGATTCATGAATTTATAAATTATAATTTGCATCTTTAATTAAAATTAAATAACTGATCCAACGTGAAACTTTCGGATAATAAGTGTGACATTACTGTAATTATTGAACAATATAGTTCATGCCACATAGACGGAAAATCTACCAGTAAAAAAGAATTCTCTTTTTATACAAAAACGCACAACCTTAAAATTTAAATTCAAACTCAGCGTTGCGACTGCACGTTCCAAAAACAATAACACATTTCTCATAGCATTTTTTCGGATTACATCTATATTTTCGTTGTCCTCTTATTACCGAGAAGTAAAAACAAGAACAAAATCTATTTTCATACCTGAGGATGTCTGAAGGAACAGACGAAAGCTTGTAAAAATTAAAAGACCTTATGCAACTGGAATTTATGAACAGGGATTATATCATTCATATACAGGTTTGGGGTTGATGTATCTTATTTATATTGTTGGTGAAGATGTATTCTCGCCATTTAAATCATTAACCTCTATATTTGTTTTTTTGTATGAATGATTCATGAATTTATAAATTATAATTTTCACCTTTAATTGAAATATATATATATATATATATATATATATATATATATATATATATGAGTGTGTGTGTGTGTGTATATATATATATATATATATTTGAGTGTGTGCGCGTGTATATATATATATGAGTGTGTGCTTGTATATATATATATATATGTGTGTGTTTGTGTATATATATATATATATATATATATTTGTGTGATTGCGTGTATATATATATATATATAGTGTGTATGTATATATATATATATATATATATATATATATTTACGTGTGTATATATATATATATATGTGTGTGTGTGTGTGCGTGTATATATATTTTTGTATATCGTATATATATATATATATATATATATATATATATATATATATATGTGGATGATATATGTATATGTGTAATGTATATGTGTTTGTATAATATCTGTAAATGTGTAATATATGTGTGTGTATGTGTAATAATGTATATGTGCATATATTTGTGCGTGTGTAATACGTATATGTATATATAAATATATATGTCAGTAATGTGTGTATGTATATATGTATGTGTGTTCTTTGTGTATAATATATATGTGTGTGTGTGTCTATGTAATATGTGTGTGTGTGTGTCTATGTAATATGTATGTGCGTGTGTGTGTGTCTATGTAATATGTATATATATGTCTGTGTAATATGTGTATGCGTGTAATATATTTACATTGTGTGTGTGTGTGTGTGTGTGATAAAGAAACAATTTATACAAAGAATTAAATAGCAATGTTAATGTGATTAATGGTGAAATCACTTTGCTAACAAGACTTAATGAGACATTAACTTACTATCAATTCCTTTAATAACAAGATACTTACATTCGAATTGTCAGATGGAAGACACATCCCAAGTACTTTCGACAATTTGAAATTGTCTTCTAAGGTGCAATCTTACTATACATAGGCAAACACTAAGACGAAATATGTGTAGACCAAAAGATTTTTTTATTTAAATTATGCCATTTATTGTCAGGTGAATTTATTTTGTAGCGTGCGATGCCGTGACACTGGAGTTCTTGTTCAAATCGATCAAGTGAGAATTTTGGTTGAATTTTGAAAAGTTATAAATCCACAAAATTTTCTTGCTATATGTATTTATCTGTTAAAGTGAAATAGACTCAGTATAATCCAATCAGTAGAGTAAAAATGTCTCAGTAGTTTTCCACAGAAATATATATATATATATACAAATAATTCTTTAGCATTTTATTTTTTTTTAAATGCTCGATACAAAGTAAAGCATAATATTGTAATATTATTATTTAAAATATATTTCTGAAGTTAATCAATATCGCTTGAAAATGGAACAATAATTTTAACCTTCTGTTCCGAAACACAGAAATTTCCGTGTCGTGATGATAAAATATTTTAAATAATAATATTATAATAGATAGATAGATAGACTGTTTCGCTGTATCACAGCTAATCAGTGTGTCTAGACGTCCGATTGTTTCAAGCCGGACCGAAACCCGACCGATACATGAGGCAACCTCACGACTCTGGGAAAGTAACTGAAGCCAAGACGCCATATCAGGACCAATAATTTTGCTGATTCTGCTTTGGATTTTATCAAGGAGCTCAATATAAATAGCAGGGGCACCGGACTATATCTGGCAGCAATATTCTAAGCATGGACCAATAGTAGACATAGATATGTAACATAGATTCAGGAGAGAAAAATTATCGAACACGACACAGTAAACCAAAATTCTTAGCAGCTACCCTAACAATGGATTCAACGTAGCCTTTCCACTTCATGTCAGCTGACACCGTTAGCTCGAGATGATGCAACGAATCACTCACTTGGCGGTTAGCATCAGCCATGCTGATGGAAGGCAGAAAGGTGTATCTCAGATGATTGAGTTCAGTTTAGTTTTGAAGGCGTTCAAAAATTAACAAGCCATCCTTTGCCCCAGGCAGTATGATCATGGGTCTCAACTGGACCTAATTTTAAGAATTTTGATCTATCATCAGGTATCTTATACATCTTTGAAACGTAATTCGAATAGTCCAGTAGTACAACACCAGCACCTTTATCAGGTTTAGTAATAACCAGGTTATAATTATTTTTAAAATTTTTAATTACCCGGTGGTGTTGTTCTCCCCATTTGGACTCTGATGAAGAAACAGAAGAATCAGCATAAGAATGGGTATAACTATTGAGTTTAGCCTTAAGGTCGCTAAGAGATTCAACAGAGCGAGGAACAAGTCTACAAACATGTACGTGTAATTTTTAAAAAGAATCAACAGTTCGCGAAATGCAGGGCAACCACAACCCCTATTTACCTCTGTCATCTTACTTATCATAAAACGCAGATTGTGTGTGTGTGTGTGTGTGTGTGTACGTTTATATATTGGATCGGATTTCCTACATTTTTCAACCGATTTCAACAAAACTTCACAGGACTACGTAAAATTACCTTACAGTGGTTCTGACAGCGCCAAAAATTGGAAAAACAATTGTTTTTACACGAAATCAATTTGAAAACACGATTAAGAGGCATCACGAGAATGAAAGGGGGACAACTCATATCGAGTTATACTTATTATAAAACCCAGGTTGTTTTTTTTTTTTGTGTGTGTGTGTGTGTATTCGTTTATATATAGGATCGGATTTCCAACATTTTTCAACCGATTTCAACAAAACTTCACTTTTGTTTTTGGCAGGTAGTGTTTCTTATTGTCTTTCACACTTTTTTCTTTATTTTTACATTCAGAATGCTTTAAAAATTCCATTTACAAGACAATTGTTTATAATAAAATTCTATTCAATCGGTAGGGACTCATGACGATTGAAAACAATGTTTTTGTTTGAGTTTGGGTTTGACCAATTCGTAAAAAAAAAAAAATATATAGAATTAAGCCATGCGTGTCCGTCAACCTTAAACAATAATCTTTGTCAATTTGATTTTTCAGTCTTTATGATGGTCGATACTTGATCTATCTCTTACTGTTACATCCCCTGGCAACGCCGGGCTCTCCTGCTAGTAAAATATAAATAAATAAATATTCCTTCTTTTCTTGAAAAGTTCTGTTCTTGGTAATTATCTTTTTCTTTGACATTCTTGATAACTTTTTTGTTTCGATTATGGAATTGCCCAAAAAACAAGACTTTCTTTGAAATTTCAGTTTATTTAACAATCTTATCTCAGAGATCAACGTCTTTACCGGGGTGAGCGGGGGAACTCCTGAGAGGAGAGACGGAGTAACCTCAATGTCCCTGATGCTAAAGAAACCGGCAAATCATTGCACTATTTTGCCATGAATGTCACTACGAATCCTAACAAGGGAAATCGTGACCACAACGGCTCAAAATGGGTTAACTGTATAAACTATGTTGATGATGATGATGATCACTTCACTTTCTTTCTAATCTGATTTTCTATTGTTTGTGTCAGTTACTTTTTCCCTCCCTTCCCCCACTACATCCCATTATGAGATTAAAAATATATATACTTAGAATATTGTTGCCACATATGGTCCGCTGCTCCTGTTATTTACCTCGAGGGTTTTGATAAAATCCAAAGAAGAATCAGCAATATTATTGGCCCTGATATGACGCCTCGGCTTCTGTCACTTTCCCGCTGCCGTAACGTGGTCTCCCTGTGCCTTTTCTATAAATATTTTCACGGTAATTATTTGAACTCTTCTCTGTGGTACCTAGACTTTATGAATTTAAGCTCAGTACTCGACTGGCGACGAGTTGGGTAGATGTAACCGTAAGTTCTATGCTAACAGTTTCTTTTCTCACACTTCTCGCTTGTGGAACTGCCTTTCAGCTCCATGCTTTCCAGCCAATTTGAATCTTCCAAAATTTAAATGCAATGTCAATCGCTCTCTACTGTCATCCTGATTACTCTTTTCTCTTTCCGCTCATTATTAAAGTATCCGTTTCTAATTCATCAACGCCCTGTAACCCCTTGTGTCTTAGTGGCTTTACTGCCTTGCATGGGGTGAATTCGATTAAAAACAAATCCATTCCTCCTTTTGTTATGAAATAAATCGTTATCTTCTCTTGTGTATGGTGGTTATCTACCACCTTGTGTACTCCTAATCCATCCGAATACGTTATCAAATCGCTTTTGGAACTTCCTTCCGGCTACATGCTTTCCAACCAACTTTTATTTGCAACAATTTAAATGCAATGTCAATCGTTATCTGCTGTCTTCCTGATTACTTTTCTTTTGTTCACACTTCTTCGTAATGTTTCTCTTTTTTTTTTCCTATTCTTTCACACTTATTAACCCCTTCTGTCTCAGTGGCTTTACTACCTTGCATTGGTTGAACTCGATTAAAAAAATAAGAAGAAAAAACGTCAACCTCAGGATATTTTTTCTCAAAATTATGGGTTTTCTTTGTTAACAGAACTAGATTGGCAAACAAGTTTTCATCAATTCACAATTGAATTGGGTAGATGTAACCTTAAAGTTCTATACTAACAATTTCTTTTCTTACAATTTTCGCTTTAGGAACTCTCTTTTTGTTCCAAGCTTTCCCGCCAACTTTGATCTTCAAAAATTTAAATGCAATGTCGATTGTTATCGACTGTCTTCTTGATTATTCTTTTATTGTTCTCACTCCTTAGTAATGTTTTCTCTTTTTTCTTATTCGTTTACACTCAGTAACACCTTGTGTCTTGGTGGTTTTACTGCCTTGCATGGGGTGAATTCGATTTAAAAAAATATTCCTCTTTTTGTTATGAAATAAATCCTCATTTTCTGTTGTGTAGGGGGGTGGTTATCTGTCAGCTCCTGAACACATTCTCCATCCGAATCTGTTATCAAATCTATTTCTTCTCTTGCTATAAAAATATAATTTTCTGTTGTGTGTGTGTTGTCAGTCATCTCAGCTACACTCCCACGCCAATACGAGTTGCTAAATTCATCCCTTATCACCTTATAAGAAACAAAAAAAAAACTTTCCATTTCTTCATGTTAAAGTTAGTTGTATCACATTTCAATCACCCTTCCATCTCCAAGAAGCCACTGAAACAAATTATAATTTTCTTTAATATTCTTATCAAGACTGTACATAAATAAGAATTTAATGCTTATTTCTACATTGTCATAAGTTAGCTTTATTTCTTCTTAGATTAAAAATAAAAGTGACTCGGGCATTGTTGCAAGATATGTTTGTACTCTCTTGTCGGGTATAGGTGTTAGTAGGGGAGGTCGATTTTTCTTCCCTTCAATAGAAAGGAAACCAGAATAGACATTCTTGACCTTAAAATTGAACACTAATGGGTCGAAAAGACATATTTATTAAATTTATTAAAATTTGCGGAAGATATTGGTTACAAAAATGGTTCCATGCGAGCCGCAGAAAAAAGGTCCCCGGGCCACAGAAAAAAGGCCCGTGGGTCACATGCGGCCCGCAGTTCGCGTGTTCGAGACCCCTGCTTTAATATACCGACACAATGTGTATTTTCGTTTTCCTTTCGTAATGCAAACGTGAATTCGAAGGGATGAGCTTTCGAGTTTTGTTTTTTTTTTTTTTTTGTATGTATGAAAAGGGAAAAAATTGAAGTTATCCCTTCAAATAGTTGGTTGTCTATCTGAATCTCCATCAATAACAACGGAAATTATTCTCATTCATATGTGAGGCTGGTAGAGATTTCCGTCATTCGCAATTAATCCAAAGAACGACACTAAGTGAAATTCCCATCATAATGTATACCGTATGTACTCGCATATCGTGTGACTTTTGAAGACCTAATTTTGAAGGTAATTTTAAGAGGGTCACATCATACACAAGATATAAAATTAGTGTATATACTGTTGACCAAACTATATACCCATTTACTATAGTAAAAAAGTACAGCTGTATTCAAAATAAGCATTAAATGTTAAACGAGTATATACGGTATTGGCAGTATCCGTGAAAATTTTGCGACTTTTCCATTTTAATTATCTGATGTCATAATTTTTCATTTAATGTTGGAATAATTATAATAATAATAATAATAATAATAATAAATGGTTCGAGTCCACGACTCTAAAGTACCAGAGGAAATTCCCCGTTAATCTGTTCAGCTTCTTACCGTATATACTTGTAAGTCGACTTCATGTACAGTGCGCTTCTGGAATTTTTTTCCCTTAATTTTACCTCCTCCAGAAAAAAAATTTACCTGTGTCAGTCAGTTATGGGCCATGCGTGATACATGCTTAGGCGATCATGTATCTTTCGATACATGACTGACGAGGCCTATTTTTTTCCGCTGTAGGTTGCCATTTTTTTCTGCGGTAGACCAACTGCCATGCAAGGCTATAGAACCCGGTCTGTTCTGCTATTTACCTATAGCTGTGGGGGGGGGTAGAAGAAGATTCATACCTTCCCCAAGGGTATTAGAACGTAAGTGAATGTAATGGATTACGCCACCGTAAATGCATGATTTCTAACCTCTTAAAAAAAACAAAAAAAAAAAAAAAAACACAATCACGGTTCCTGTACGAGAAGCAACGTAAGTTAAGCAACATCAAGCATGGCCAGTACCTAGATGGGTGACCACTTGGGAGTACCAGCTGCTGTAAGCTTGGATGTGCGGCTTGTGTCATGGATAATGGCTCAGAATTCTTAATCGGAGAGCCGGGTTCCAATTCTGGTCGGGTTCGTTATACTCACGTAAAGGTATGAATCCACCTCTTATTCCCCCAGCTATGGGTTAATTAGTAAGACTTGTATCACTAAAACTATTAGTATCACGAAAGAAAAAAAATGGAATTGTGTACAAAATATTTAGATTTCTGCATTAAATAACCTATAAATGAATTTTACCAATCAACCAAATCCTTCTAAAGTTTACCCATTCTCTTTTACTTGCAATTTAGTGGCATTCTCACCTTGTTTGGGGTAAATTGATTTAAAAAAAATCTCTCCACCCCAGCTATGGGTTCGTTAATTAGTAGGACTTGTATCAGTAAAAATTTTACTGATACAAGTCCTACTAATAAATTTTTTAGACAATAATGATTTTACTGTAAAAAAAATTCTTACAATCAAAAATATGTCTGGCTTTAAATAACCTGCAAAAGGTTGATAACTTGTAAAAAACAAATCAATCAATAAAAATATCTACTTTTTATAATTACTTTTATCTTAGAACCCTATCCCTACAAAACAGGGTAAGTCAAAATGAAAACCAGCTATAATTTTATTTACATTTTTTTTCTCTTTTTAAAATCCCGTACAGTAAACTAATGTAGGTTAATGAATAGCATTTACATAGGTGTCTGATTTGACTATTAATGGAATAAGTATCTCGAGGTAGGAACAGGGTGGTACTCTGGGTTTGTCAGTGGGTGGTGTAGGTACTTCAAGGTTTGTAATTAATTCCACAGCCTCGGCGCCATTTTCTAATGTGTGTGTGTGTGTGCGTGCGTGCGTTTCATATATATATATATATATATATATATATATATATATATATAAAGTACACTTAGCATTAATGTCAAAGTTGGAAAACCTAACTTGTGCCAGTCTGAACATTACCTTCCAGACAAGCCCGTTTTTTAGCAACCATCCGACCAGCTCCTCTCCAATTCTTGCTCCCTGCCTCACGCCGCCCTCTGCACTAAAAACCATCCCTTCTTCCCACCCATCCCTTCTTCCCACCCATCCATTTTTTTTTAGCCCCCCCCCTCCACTCGGTCACCCTTCTGTCTCACCCACCCACTTCGTTGGGAATAGAGGAGTCGGTTGGGTAGGTAGAGAATGAGTGACAATGGCTGTGGTGAGCGTAGAAGTTATACATTTGCTTAACATTTAGGCAGGCGCACGTGCACGCAAAATTCCCCACCTTCGCTCTCATATAATGGTCTGTGCACACACACACACACACACACGCGTGTGTGTGTGCTCGTTTGTGCACACGCACACAGGCACTTGTTAGAAACTCTTTCTTTGACAAAGATGCAAGTGAGCCTAAATTCAAAAATATGAAGATATATTTCTTTGCAGAACTGTGGTTTAGCACGCTAACCGTTTATTACTGCAGTGAGTTTGTTCCTCACTAGGCAACCATAACTTCTGGCCTTGAACCAGACTTAGCTAAGTTTAGGCAACACCAGTACATATCCTCTATTTCCTTTTTCTTGTTTTTCCTCTTTTTTCATCTATTTTGTCCATCTCTCTTTCTTTCCCTGTCTCCATTTACAATTCTTTTTCTCTCTTCTTCTCGCTTTACATCTCTCTTTCTTTCTCTCCCTTTACATGTGATTATTTCTCACTCTCTCTCTTTACACGTCCGTTTCTTTCTCTCTCTTTACACGTCCGTTTCTTTCTCTCTCTTTACATATCTGTTTCTTTCTCTCTCTTTACACGTCCGTTTCTTTCTCTCTCTTTACACGTCCGTTTCTTTCTCTCTCTTTACATATCTGTTTCTTTCGCTCTGTTTCTACATCTTTTTCGTTCTCTCTCTCTCTTTACTTCGCTTTCGTTCTCTCTTTCTCTTTACATAATTTTTCCTTCTCTCTTTTTCGTTTTCTTTCTCCGTCTCTACATCTGTTTCTTTCTCCCTAGCTATCTTTTTTTTTCATTTTTTTTTTTTTTTATTTGTTCATCTTTTTCGTTTTCCTTCTCGTTTTGGTCTTTCTTTCACTCTTGTCCTTTTTCATTTCTTGTTCTCTTTTTTCTCTATATTTCTTGTAACCTATTTCTCATTCAAATGTATTTAAGCATAAATCTCTCTCTCTCTCTCTCTCTCTCTCTCTCTCTCTCTCACACACACACACACACACACACACACACACACACTTATCCACACCTCCATTGAGGCTTGCCTATTGCTGCTCTTATCTGTAGACGCGGGTGTCAGTGTAAATTTCATTCTTATAAAAACCAAGTCCAAATTTTGTGGAGTGCACAGTAACCCACTTGGAATGAGAAATCGAATATCCAAGTTCGAATTCCAGTTGGGTTCGTTATATTCACTTATACTCAAATACCTTTAGGAAAGGTATAAAATCTATCTCTTCTCCCCTCCAGCTATCGTTTGAATAGCATTACAGACTGGGTCCTATAGCCTTGGTTTGTAACCAGTCTACCACAGAAAGAAATGGCAGCCTACTGAGGAGAAATCTTCTGCCTAGTCAGTCATGAATCGAAAGAGACATGATTACCCAAGCATGTACAGTGTAACCCGGATATAAGATGTTTTTCTCTGGTCCCAAATTAGAGCCTGTGTTAATGTATATAAAATAGACCAAACCCGAATATAAGAGACTTCTTCTCCGGTCCCGACAACTCTGTTATATCCGGGTTACACTGTACATATACTAATAATAAATTTACATTTGACAGAATTGTTGTATCGTTTATATTTATATCTACTGAGAATACTCTCTCTCTCTCTCAAGATGTTTTATATATATATATATATATATATATATATATATATATATATATATATATATATATAAATATATATATATATATATATATATATATATATATATATAAATATATATATATATATATATATATATATATATATATATATATATATATTATATATATATATATATATATATATATATATATATATATATATATATATGGATGTATATATATATATATATACATATATATATATATATATATATATATATATATATATATATATATATATGCACAGTTCTTGATATATATAAGAAACCCGGATATAAAATGGAGATTTTCTCTGGTCCCAAATTAAAGCCTGTGTTAATGTATATAAAATAGATTAAACCCGAATATAAGAGACTTCTTCTCCGGTCCCGACAACTCTCTTATATCCGGGTTACACTGTATTATGTATGGCACTTAACTGACTGAAACAGTAATGATCAGTAATGATTTTCTTAATTCTTTCCATATAATGGGTAGCTTATGATTCAGTCAACTAATAATATTAGTTGTTCCCTTATTAGGAAACATTTGGCATACATTGACCGAGCAGCCTGTGGTACTGTCGTTTGATATTTATAAAAATCTTTCTATTAAAACAATTTTCCAGATAAATAAGTTTCTCAATTACACTGTTATCACTCTTTCCAGCATTGATGGGAATTTCCTTCCTAACCTTTTGCTTAAAGTGGTGTGGAAGTTCAACATCCTGATTGTATCATTATTTTCTTTTTGCGTTACATGTGCTATCCATTTATATGATGTATCTTTATGACAAGGAAATTGAAAATAATCCTAGCTCAAGTCTCAGGGGGTAGGGAGATGGATGTCTTCGCTGTGGCCTACAGGCTTCATTCGCTCAAAGTCATTTTTAATCGTTGGTTCAGAAAGCAGTTGTACACAGCTGACAGTTTAGTCTTCAAGTGATGTTTTTTTTTTTTTTATTTGGTACAGTTCTTTATTTGTGATTTGCAGGTCACACTACTAAAAAAAAAAATCAAAGTAATTTTTCATTGAAGGTAGCTCAGCCATTTTCTCTATGGAAGCCCATACATGTAAATATTTACCTTAGAAACCTGGAAAAGAATTTTTTCTTTGGAGAAAATACTTTTTCTAATATTAAAAATTGAAGTGATATATAAAAATAATAAATATAATATTATTACTGATGACAGTTGATTAACACACGCAGTACCATGAGTTATTTGTTTCTAATTTATTCATTTAACTATACAAAAAATAAATTTTTAAATATTTCTTCTCTAGAGAAAAATATTTTATGAATGTTTCCTGTTTCTAAAGCAAAAGATGTTTATGCGTATGATCTTCCTTAGTGGAAATTGCCAATGGTTTAAAATGCTGAAAATGTTACCTTCACTGAAAGTTTTTTAAAAAATTCAAGAAACATTGTGTTAATTACTGTTTGCATATGTCGTTATGAGATAACGATATATATTTTTAATACTGGGGAAGAATCTATGACAAAGTTGAAAAAGTTTTCTTGTGATGTGTTTTGCCCTGTAGGACTTCATTGGGCTAAATTTGCTATGTTGGTTCAACTACACATGCATACAAATGAGGGATGATGGGAATTAAAATTTTTGTTTTTTAGCAATTCATTTAGATTCTTTTCCTTTTTGTTTCCATCAGTTTTCTTAATAGATATTCCACACTGTGATAATAGAAGTTCTGCCAGGAAGGGTCAAATGTTGTAAGAGCCAGGGTGCAAATTTACTGTACCTTGCAATCAAGGCACTCCAGACATTTTTTTCATAGAGAATTGTTTTCTCCTTTGATCAGAGTAGCATTTATTATTTCAAAATTGTGGTCAGTCTCATTATGGTGCACATAAAAAAAATTTTTGACCTAAACAAAATTGATGGAAAGAAGAAGAAACTAAATGAAATCAGCTAGATAAAAAAATATTTTTTTTTAATTTAAATTTATCACTTGTTCAAGCAGATGTGTAGTAGTACCAACATAACAAATTTAGTCCAATGAAGTCCTAAAGGATAAAACACATCACAAGAAAACTTTTTCTACTTTCTCATACATTTTCTCCAGTATGTAGTTATGTATGAGAAAATGTGAGTGAACAAGTCAGAAGGAAACAAACAAGGTTTTAAGAAACATTATTTAGGCTTAAATCAGGCATACCATTCAGAATGCCAAATGGGCTGCATGTGGCCTGGGGGGTGCAGTTTGTTCATGACTGGTTTAGATATTTCTGACCAGGTTTGGTGCCATGCATGACATTCATATGTAAGTCTTGATTTTAATCTAATAAGACTATAGTAAAAAGTAAATATTACATTAACAATTTTTTTTATAAGAATAATAATTTTTCTAGATACGAGTCTTACTATTTAATCCATAACTGAGAGGTGGATTCGTACCTGGCATGCCACATACACAGGGGCAAACCATCTCCATTCCCTTTGTATTCCATTAGTAATAAAGAAACAGGATTTGGAAAGATTCTTCCCAAGAATCCCTGCTTTGTAGAACAGACTCCCATGTGGATACTTCCCTGTTCACTATGTCAAATCATGCTGAAAAAAACTGGTTCTCATTCGTTAACCAAATTAATTTGATGGGTGGGGGGTACTTGGTACTGCATGCAACCTCCCACAATTCCAAAATATGTTTCAGCTTTAAGTAACTCACAAAAGGGTGATAAGCCATCAAAAAAAAAATCAACTAATGGATATTAACCTCCTCAATCCTAGGGTTAACTATTAGCTTTCCTACATATCATCATAACCTGCACTTCTTAATTTCACCACTTATGTTCATATAACAGTCAGTATCTATATTGAGAGGCTTTTGAGCCTTGTATTGGTAATCAATTAATATATAAAAAGAATAAAATGATATAAAAGTGATGTAATGGAATAACCTGTCACCCCCATGAGTGACTACACTATAGGTAGTAACTACCTATAAGTATCTGTAAGTCAACGGACTACAGAGGCTAGCTGGGATCTGTTGAGTACGACTCAGACTTATGAGAGAACTACCGACCTTCCAATAGTAGCACTCACTACTGGATTGACTTGTGACAACTGTTACCTTTATTCTTATTGTACTGGTTTTTGCAATAAACCTTTACTTATTTTATCCACCTTGTTTCTCAAGTATATATTCCTATTAGTACACAATATAATATAAAGAAAGAAAACTAAAAAGCTTAAGTGACAAAATAAAATAGGAGTTTCAGAAAGAGCAACATTAAAATCTAATGTGCTATTGGGATAGGGAAAGATGCCTTCCAAACGCTAAGCAAAGTATTAGGAAGCAGGAAAATATCATTAGAAACAAAGAAAAGAGTACTGAACTGTTATGTAATATCAGTCCTTTTTTTTTTTTAATCATTTCACACAAGCAAGGTAATAATGCCATGAGAAAGAAGAACGAGAAGACTTTAGTGGAGAGGATTGAGGAAAGGACAATAAAGGAACTGAGTTCAAGAAGACAAGATGGTGATTGACATTGCATTTAAATTTTTGAAGATTGTAGTTATCAGGGAAGCAAGAAATCAGAAGGGTGTTCCACATGTGAGAAGTGCAAGAGAAAAAATGTTAGACTAGAAGTGGCGGTTGCATCAAGCTAGTTCAATAATAAAGGGGTGGGACCTAGTTGCCAATCTAGTAGCACACTTAAATTCATGTGGTAAAAACCAGGTAAAAAAGTTCATCAGAACAATTGCCATGAAAATATTTGTAAAAAAACAGAGGGAAGCCATATCATGTTGGTGAGAAAGTGAATGAAGTCGAGATGCCTGGTCAGGACTGATTACATTACAGACTCTTCTTTGAATATGGCAGTGAATGCTGGGTAATATCTACAGATGAAGAAGAGGCTTGGATCAACAGAAATGTGGTACTACAGAAGGATTGTGAGAATACCATGGACAAAAATGTGTGAGCAACAATTTTTATAAGAAAATAAAAATAAAATAAAAATTTTTATAGAAAATGGAAACTAAAAGGAGACTTATACTGACTGAACATTAGAAAGACTGTTTCCAATTTCTAGAGCATATAATCAAAAAACAGAGCTGGGAAAATTTGATTATCACAAGAAAGCGGAAAACAACATGTAACCTACCTAGTGAGTTTCAGTAAAAGAATGCTAGAACAGGTTCTAGGAGAGATAGCAAAAGGGCAAAATTTATTAAGAGCTACTAAGGATAGGAAATTGTGGAGAGCCATGATCAATAACATCCTGAATGGTCACAGCACAGAAAAAGAAGAAAAACTTGCTTGAATGAATCGCTGACAGAACAGAGTTTAGAAGAGAGAATAAAAGATAAAATTTATTAAAAGCTACAAAGGACAGGAAATTGAGGAGAGCCATGATCACCAATGTCCTGAAGAGACATGGCATATAGAAGAAGAAAAACAAGCTTGAGTAAATGGATGGCAGAACAGAGTTTAGGAGATAGAACAAAAAGACAACATTTATTATAAGCGACAAAGGATAGGAAAGTGTGGAGAGCCATGATCATCAACATCCTGAGGAGACACGGCACATAGAAGAAGAAAAACGAGCTTCAGTAAATGGATGGCAGAACAGAGTTTAGGAGAGAGAACAAAAAGACAACATTTATTAAGAGCTACAAAGGACAGGAAATTGTGGAGAGCCATGATCATCAATGTCCTGAAGAGACATGGCGCTCCAAACATGAGGGATGGAAGTTCACCTACACAAAAACAATACAATAAGCAATGTAAAATATCCTCACTGCCCATTTGTCGCCTCATTTGAGCCTTATTTGTTTCCTTGACCCCCACATTTTTTTCCATTTCTGTTCCTTCCATATGTTGACATTGATGATTAATTAGATTCAGAAGTGTTATTTTAAGTTAGTCTTTCACTTTCTACTCTCTTCACCCCTGCCAGTTTGGGAATTTGGATTTAGAGCCAGTTAAGATATACAAAAGGTTAGGAACAAGACAGTTAAAATGAAGAAAAGGAAGTGGAAGGGAATGAATAACTACTCTTCCTCTCTAGACTGTTCTAGATTGATCAGTGGTGGGAGGGGAGATCTGAGTAATGCTTACCTTAAATTGTTTAGTATCATACACTTAAGTAAAAGTACACACAATTTTTTTTTGTATTTATTGTCAGACAAATTTATTTTAAACTTTGTGTGTGTTTCAATTGGATTCAGCTAAGTTACTGTTTACCTGCCTCACAATCCTGGAGTTAGCCAGTGACTTGAATAAAACAGTTGATTAAACAGAATAAGCCTCATTGACTAAAATAGTGACGTAATCTCGTCATAATGTTTTAACAAGTAGACCTCAGGCCTCATTGAACAGTCGGATCACGCTAATTGAACTATTGATACTAATTTATCTACCATTAATCGTAATGAAGTTGAAGATAATTACTTATTGAAGGCAGATCTATTACAATATTAGACAGGATTATCTTATTGAAATTATTAGCTGTTAATCTTAGGTTTCTTTGAATTCACTCTTTGTCAACATAATTATCGACATGTGTTTACTAATTCTGTTTAGTCAACTGTTTTATTTGTTGTCTTCCTCCAGAACTGATTGCCCAGTAAACAGTAGTCAAGCCTTGAAGGCTAAATTGACATTATTTTGGAAATATTGTTGTTTATTTATTTTTTTCTTATCTTTTGATTTGATGTTTTTAAGCTCTTTCAGTACTATTAAATAGTGAGTTCATTCCCTGGATCAGGCAGTGTAAACAGTGTGAGAAGTACTTAAAATAACAACTACATGAGTTATCTCCCCTAGATGTGGTCAGCAGAATAAGAACAATCTATTGTGTAGATTAAATATTTCCTGAAGTGATATTCTCTTTTCTTTTTTTTTAACACATAGATTAATCCTAAACTAAAATAATTTAAATACTAATTTGCATGAAAAAATAATCAAGAACTTACTCACTTTCATTTATTCATTAAATTGTGTCACTTTGTGCCCTCCATAGTTTGCCTGACTTTTCAGCTAATCTGATGAATATTCCTAAACTTAAAACAACTGAAAAACCAATAACATTTTTGCTCTTGTATATAAATACTTGTTACAAAATAAAATACATGCATTTGCCTTGATACGGTCTCTCAGGGGATGAAACGTATAGGCTAAGATTTTGTTTTGTCTTTATTCCTCTTGTCCTTTTACAGATATTCTCTATTGGAAGTTTTTACACATAGGTGTATATATTGTATATTATTATTGTCTCAATTTGACATTAAAATTTGAATTAAAAGTGCCCTGAATTTTCAATGTTAATGCAGGTAACTCAATTTTCAATGTTAATGTAGGTAACTGTTTTTGCCAAGAAAAATGTTAGTCCTGCCAATGCAAGTTGAATTTGAATTTCTTAGTTGTTTAGTCATATCCTTCTATGACAACACCTAAATTGAAATTGAGTCAGCCTACTGCAATTTCAAATATATAGAATCTATATCTATAATTCTCAAAATGTGTGTGCATGTGTGTGTGATCAGATGTTGCTTATGCATTTCCACAGTTTTCATCTGATTTTGATTATTTTTTTTTGTTTGATAGATAATTCTTCAGTGCTGGTTTTGAGTCCAAATTGTTGGTGACAATAGCTCTCCACTACTTCCTGCCCATTATAACTCTCAGCAATGTTTTACTATTTTCTGTCTGTTCTTTGATATATATCTTTCATAAAAACTTTAACTAAAATAAATAGTTTAAATTATAAAAATAATATTATTTATTATTATAGTTCCCTTTTCAGCACACTCCCATTCAAATTTTTACCCTCCCCCCATTTGGGAATGTACCTCAGTTGCACCCAATTGTTGTTACTAATACTGATTTTCAGATGGCCTGACTTTAAACTTAAACTACTCCAATTGAACGGAAAAAATTCCCAGTAATAAAAGTCCCGGTCGAAGACTGGTTATATTGCTAGTTAATACATAAAACATTATATTTTGAAGGGATTCCATAGATAATAAAAGGAGGAGTAATATGCAAAATGTTAAATTTGTTAATTTTTATACATGAGACTTTGGTTTATTTGACTGGAATTTTGTCTATTTTCGGGATAAAAGGCTGTCCTGTTACCATTTTAAACACTTGTACAAGAGTATCTCACTTTACTACATTAGGACATATTTGTTTTGTGTCTAAAAAAAAAAAACAACATAATATGAAGTAATTACAATTAATTTATATTCTGAAATTTTCTGAACATTCCTGGACCTCCCACTATAAGTTCCTTCTATGTTGGCCCCACTGTGACTGATGAGGAAGGCCTGGAATTTGGCAGTCTGTTTGACTGCTAAACCCCACACATCTTTCTGCCATACAGCTCTTTGTAGACACTCAAAACATTTTCTGAAACTTGCTCTATACCTATTTGCCCTTTTAAAATTAAAGTCCATGCTTTTCTATGATCATTGTAAAATTTCCTGCAAGGTTATTTTGAAGTCTGGGAATGATAAAAAAATGTCTCCCCTATAATGGTAGCTATTTCTCTGCTTTACACAATTGCTTAGCAAATTCTTGACTAGATCTGCTCAGTCCTTACTTTCCAGGATTGATAGAGTTCAAAAAGCCTCTACACTGCCTTGTGGATGAGTGATTATTTTCCACCCTACAACCTCTTTCCTCACAGCCAAAACATTGCAAACCTATCATTACTATCACTCTTTTCATGCAAAATGTTCAGACAAGTTACATTCCTTAGATCCACTAGTTCAGACCTTCACAGCTAAGACCCACCATGCTACATACACTGGAACAAATTATCCACATTTGTATTCCATTGATAAGGAAGAAGTACCACTTGGACAACATCTTCCTGAAAACTGTTACTTTGTGGAAAATACTCCCAAAAGAATACTACCCCAATCGCAACAAACTTAACCTCTTCAAGTCTAGGGTTAACCTTTGTCTTTTCTACATATCCTCATAATCTGCACTTCTTACTTCCGCCACTTACATTCATAAGCTACCTCCTTCAGTAACACTCTGCCTTGAGTGTCTCTTAGCCTTTTAATGTCTAGGGTTAACCGTTATCTTTCCTATATATCCTCATAACCTGCACGTCTTACTTCTTTCCCTTACTTTCATAAACTACTTCCTCCAGTACCCCTCTAGCTTGAGTGGCTCTTAACCTCTTCAAGTCTAGGGCTAACCGTTATCTTTCCTACATATCCTCATAATCTGCACTTTTTACTTCCTCCCCTGACACTCCTACAACAATCTCATTCAGTAACATGCTACCTTGAGTGGCTCTACATTTCATAGGAATGGTTTACTTCTGGATAGTGGAAAAAAGAATAAAGAATTTTTTTTTTTAATGAATTTAATTAAGTTGAAATTGTAGTGATTTCAAATGAAATATAAACCCAAGCTGATCTTGAACTGATGTCTGTGGATGTTGTTGATTTAGCGACAAATACTTTTGAAAGTTTTAAATAAAACCTTTTCACAATGTGCTAAAGGCAAGAAAAAATAAGACGGCCATGAAATGTAGGTCAGGACATTTTTTTTTTTATCCTTGTGGAACCAAGAGAGAATTGTCTTTTCCATCAAAACACATAGAAAGACACATGTTGTAGTAATCATGGTAGATGAAATAGGAAGGGGTTTGAAGTCCGGGGAAGAAATTTTTTTTTTCCAGGGCGGATGGGGGATAGATATAAATATTATGTTGAGACAATGAGTGAAGGGTTTTAAGAAGTGTGAAAGCGAGGAAGAATAAAGATAAAGGAATCGTGAGAAAAAACATACTAAAGGGTGTTAAGAAGTATGCACACTGATGCAATTATTAACAAACTAGTTTCACCAGTTTTTATCACTGAGTTCATTTGTAGCTTGATGGGCCAAAAAATGGATTTGGTAAAAACTTTATTTTGCTTTTCTTTTTATTAGTATTAATATTTGTCACTTATTAATTTTAAACTTCTTTCTCTTGCTTTTCCACCAAGTAGTAATAGTCTTAAATTGTCTGAATTTCTTAGATGAAGCCTTGTCAATTTTTATTCATTTTTGGCTAGTATTTCTTTCATCTTATTTCTCTTGCTTTTCCACCAACGAGTAATAGTCTTAAATTGTCTGAATTTCTTAGATGAAGCCTTGTCAATTATAATTCATTTTTGATTAGTATTTCTTTCATCTTATTTCTCTTGCTTTTCCACCAAGTAGTAATAGTCTTAAATTGTTTGAATTTCTTAGATGAAGCCTTGGCAATTATTATTCAATTTTACTAGTATTTCTTTCATCTTATTTCTCTTGTTTTCCACCAAGTAGTAATAGTCTTAAGTTGTCTGAATTTCTTAGATGAAGCCTTGGCAATTATTATTCAATTTTACTAGTATTTCTTTCATCTTATTTCTCTTGTTTTCCACCAAGTAGTAATAGTCTTAAGTTGTCTGAATTTCTTAGATGAAGCCTTGGCAATTATTATTCAATTTTACTAGTATTTCTTTCATCTTATTTCTCTTGTTTTCCACCAAGTAGTAATAGTCTTAAATTGTCTGAATTTCTTAGATGAAGCCTTGTCAATTATAATTCATTTTTGATTAGTATTTCTTTCATCTTATTTCTCTTGCTTTTCCACCAAGTAGTAATAGTCTTAAGTTGTCTGAATTTCTTAGATGAAACCTTGTCAATTATTATTCATTTTTGACTAGTATTTCTTTCATTTTCTTTCTCTTGATTTTTCAACCAAGTAGTAATAGTCTTTCAATATATTTGGATGAAGCATTGTCCATGATTACTAATTTTTCACTTCCTTTTTATTTCCAGTTTCTTTTCATCATAAGCAGCATGGATCAGAAAATAAAAGTTCACAAGAAGACT